CTGCTGCAAGGTTTGGGGGTGAGCGCGCGCGGCACTGCGGCGAGGGCCCCAGCTGAGAAACGCAACCGCCATCCGCGAAAGCATTCCCACATGCTGAAACGAGTGTACGCGGCGCTGAGGCGAGAACACCATTCTGAAAATGCCCCACCCCCCTGCCTGAAACTTCTACCATCTTGTACCACGAATGTGCGGCGCTAGCGCGGAATCACATTCTGAACACTGTACCTCCACGCCTGAAGTTGCTGAAGCTGTGTGAAGCGAACGTGCGCGGCGCTGGGGCGAGAGCGACATTTCGAAAACGGCCCCGCTTCCATCCCTGAAGCTGTTGCAAATGTGTAAGACGAGCGCGCGCGGCGCTAAGGCGAGAGCAATTTTTTCAAGGAGGAACCGCACTCCACCCTTGAAACGATTGCAGCTTTCCCACACGAAAGCGCGCTGTGCTGAGGTGAGAGCCATAGCCCGAACAGGCATCGCACTCCATCTTCAATATGTTTATAGTTTTGTTCACGAGCGTGCGCGGCTCTAAAACGAGAGACACCGTTTGAAAACGATCCGCCCGACATCCCTGAAGCTGCTGCAAGTGTGAAAGCGAGTGCGCGCGGCGCGAGAGCGAGATCTAGATTTTGAATACCACTCATCCCCCTCCATCCCTGAAGCTGTTGAATGCCTTAATGCCTTCAGCCTCAGGATCAGAAGTGACGAAGAAGTGTCAAGCGATACTCCGGGCCCCGCCCTACCGACACGTCTGGGCCTGCGACGAGGAAGGGCTACGTATGAGGAAAGTGCGCTGTGGAAGAGGAGGAGGAGGAGGAGGAGGAGGAGGAGGAGAAGGAGGAGGAGGAGGCAAGAGCCGCCAGCATCGAACCGCAAAGCCGCCTCGGAACGTGCACCGAATCGCGCGGCATCGGAGGTGCGGAGGAAGAGGAGGAGGAGGAGGAGGAGCTCGCTCTCACCCATTCAGTTCAATGGCTTATCACTCTCATCCTCGCAGAACCTGGGGGGGGATACAACTTATCTGTACCCCAATTCATCTTGCTAGCTCTAAAAGCCACACGCGCTGGCAGATGCAACACACAATTGCCTGCGCGGGGGCCTGGCCGTTGAACTCAACGGGCAGGGCACACAATCGGGGAGGGATTAAGCCTGTCGCTCATCTCATTCCTCTCAAGAACCGTCAGATCATTATGCACGGAAGAGCAAGAGGGCTGAGCGGCGGAGCCTGATGGAGGCAGCGGCCGAGGGAGACGTAGATCGGCAGCAGTGGCAGGTCCGATCCAGCACGGACAAGACCTAAATCTCCACCACTTTTAAATAGTCTGAGACGGGCACCTTGGGAACAAAAAAACAGTCCTTGCACATGCCCGACTGCCGTCACCCAGCCGCATCTAGGCGACCTGGTCCCCCATGGGACGGCCACAACGCTCGACGACGCGTTGCAGCGGTGGCGACGCCGAGCAGGCACACTCGGGTGGAATCTCAGACTCCGTTCCTCAGAAGAAAAAGCCAGACCCTCTGCCGTGGGCCTCGGTCGTTAGGCCTCGGCCTGGGAACGGTCCCAGGAGCCAAAGACACAATTAAGAACTAGCCTGGAATCAACTCACAGGGTCATCGATGGCGGAAGAACTTCAGCTCATAACAGAATTCCACTATGCATAATCACTGCTTCATCCGCCTGCGAGCCATGTTGCCACGCGGTGCGCGGCCATGTGTAACATTTCCACCAGCTGCTCTGATCAATACAGACACGATTGCTTCAACTCCCATCACCTTGCCCTCAGCGTGTAGAAGCTCGTCGGCATCTCCAGCGGCGTCTGCTGGTGTACCTGGCCGTCGGGTTCGCTGACGGCCTTGAGCAACTCTGTCGCTGTGGCCTCGTCGTCGGGCACCAGTGTTGACCCGCGCAAGCTGAACAAAAGGCGCGACTTCTTCGGCTTGTTGGGTTGGTCGAAGCACGGGAAAACTGCTGTTTCTCGTGCCCACTGTCCTGTGAGATCTGGGCCTGCTTGCTCCAACATCTTGCCGATGCGTATGGCCACGAACTTGAGCCGCGACATCCTCACCGAAGCGTCCTTGTACTGCCAGCTGCCTAAGACGTTCAGAACCGCGTAGATTGCTTGGCAAGCTGGAGAACCAAGATTGACCGATGGGTCTTTTCTTCCTTTCCTCGGCGTACTCCGCATATGATTTGTTGACATCCACCACAGCCTGATGAGCCCTGTCCAGGATTACCGTCGTCATCGCCTCGTGCTCCCGAAGCCGTACTCGGGCCACCAGTTGAACGATGAGGTTCTTCATCAGCAGGAAGGTCTTCGCCTCGTCGTCCAGACCGTCGTCCTCTGCCTCCCCGTCGATGCGTGCCTTCTTCTTGTCTTTGCCCGTCTCCGCGAAGCTCTGACTGCGGGCTCGAAGGAGCCACGACTTTGTTTTCTCGGTCACGCCGTAGTCGCCTGGCATTGAGCCTGGGCTCCCACTCTGCGTCAAGCAACTTGGCCCACGAGGT